GGGTCGGTTGGTGGGGCCGGGTTCACTCAAGGGGGCTGAGTGGGCGCGGTTGTTGCGAAGGGAGAGAGTGGGGAGGAAGGCTGCGGTATGCGCGGCGGGCGCTGGGCGGCGGCCGAGGCTTGTGCCGTGGGGGCCGGAATGTTCACGGTTCCGTGTGCGTGACTGCGTAGGGAGGCGCCAACTTGGCGGTGTGCGCAAGGCGTTGGGGCCGAGGGACAAAAGAGGTTTGCAGCCCTGACCATGCCGCGGCGCAAGAGGAGGACACTGCTACCTATAGCCTGACACAACCGCTTTCGCTCTGCTCCTGCATTGCTGCTGCGTCGCGGCTGCGTTGCCTCTGCATTGCCACCGCATTGCTTCTGCAATGCTTGTGGTCTGCTTTTCAGGGTGCGCAGTCCTGGTCGCGGCCCTGCCACCCCGAGCATGCGCCCGCGGCAGAGCATCGGGCCCCTCACCCCGTTGCTCGTGAATCGGTTGAAACGCCGCTCCCCAACGGCAGACTTGGTGGCATCGGTGAAGCTGCGGGGGCGGAAGCCCAGTGGGAGGCACAGCAGGGGCGGGAAGACCTGGGCCCGGGCCGGGGGCAGGGCGTCGGGTGGGGCAGCCGCCACCGCGGCTGCAAGGCGCGCCGCAGGCGCCGGCTGCCCCTTCGCCGTGCACGCCAGCTGGACCACTGCTGCCCTTTAGACAACCCCCCCCCCTCCCCGGGGCAAGAAACTGCGTGCGGTTGGCAGCAAGGATGGGGGCTCGAGGGCAGGGCCAGGGCCGCCCTGTGACTGCCTCCGCCGGCAGCCCACCTGCCATAGCACCCGGCGCAGCGCCGGGGGCCTGGCATGGCCACGAATGTGTCATACAAGAAGCTGTTGTGTGCGTGGCAGGAATGACGGGCGTGGGATACAACGAGTGGGGTGGGAAGGGGTAGGACTGGAGTGCGGTCCTTGGTGATGGTGGATCCACAGGGACGGGTGAGGGGGGGGGCAGCGCCATGCGCCGTGACGACCTATCGCCCAAGAAGAGCGACAGCCGCTGCCATGCAGCAACCCGCTGGCGCCCGAGCGAGCCGCTAGACGCCGCCTGCAGCGTCAGGAGGAGGGCGCAGGGCCCATCGCATGGGGCATGCAAGCCCCCCTGCATGGCTGCATGGGCGGCGCTGGCCACCCGCAGAGCGCAACCCGCGCACCGCATGCACTCCTCAGGTTCGAGTTCATTGGGAACGCGTATGTTCTGGATGTCCCAAACGATGATCACGTCTTGGCCGCGCTGCCCTGTTGGCGGGACAAACTCTGGCAGCCCCAGCTCAAAATCCGCGCCTAGCGCCGGCGACGCCGGCGGCATGCGGCGCTAGCTGATGCCGTGGCGCTTCTCCTCGACCTCCTGCTGCTCTGGCAGTCCTGCCGTGTTCCTCCTGCGCTGCCCTCACTGCTTGCCAGTCGTCGTGCTGTGGTGCTGCGCTGCTGGCGAGTGGCGCCACGCCTGGCCCCACGACCGTCCTACAAGCCAACTAGTGTGATATTCTATGAAATCATGGTGTTATGTCACACACTTGCATAACTTTCATCGGTGCCGTGGTGTGCACTCTGCTTACTGTACGCGAGTCGATAAGCGCGGCAGGCGCAGTTCAGTGCAAATTCAAAAACGTCCCCTTCTCGAAAATTGGGGTACCTGTTGTTGTGATCTTATGCATGTGTGGCACCCGCCACTGTACTGGGTGACAAATCCATCAGCCCTGGGCTGCTGAGCCGGCTTTCTTCACGAGCAACTCTGATTGAAACCATTGGGTCCTTGTTGTTGGTTGGGTATCCCTCCCAGCCTGCCACAACGGAACCTGCGTGAATCCATCGTCACTGGACTCATGGACTGGCGGCTGCTCACTAGCACAGCAAAGCCCTGGCCTGGGGCTCAAAGCCTGCTCCAGCTTCCATCCACAAGAGTATTACGGTATATCCCCATTCTGAACGCGTTTAGGTGGGGCGCAGGCGAGGACACTTCGAGCAGCTCTCCGGGTGCCGCATCCGCTCGTCTTGTAAACACAACTGGTCGCGGGAATGTGCGACTGCTGGGCGCCAAACAGTGCTGTACCCTCGCCTGATAAACCTTGTTGAAACATTTACATGCATGAATATGGCTTCCACCTCACTAAAGGCTGGAGCTGATTAGTGGTGTCGCGGGGCGGGACCGCCCCAGCAGGATGGCAATGCATCGTCACAGAGAGCGGTACGGACGCTGCGAGGCTGCCTGCTGGTGGGCAGCGGCACATTTGAAGGGATCTAACATGCGTTGAAACGCAAAGATTTGGTGAGTCGCCAAGGAATGCAGGCAAGGGCATGCGGGTGTCGAGGACAAAACATCATGAGGGGGGACCCACCAGCGACGCCTCTCGCGGGCCGACGGTCCCGAGGGCAGGAATGCAGAGGATCACACCAGGGCGCCAGGTCTGCTGCTGCACAAGTGGGCAAACGCTCGTCGCCGGCCCGAGCGGGCGCCGACGCCGGATCAATGACAACGGATTCATGAAAAGCATGTGCACATGCGGGCCCGCAACAACGCCAAGCATGTATGCACACTGGGGCAAAGCACTGAGGATCGACTCACTTTCCTGTACCTGTACAGCAGGGGTAGCCCCCTGCATGATCATCGCACCATCCGGCATCAGATTGTCAGTGTTCTCAATAAACCCTGATGGCGGCCAAGCAAAAGAGAGGCTCATGCAGCCCCGACAGCCGCGGCTCCCAGGAAGGGGGCCGGCGCGGGGCTGGCGGTTTCACCATGTGCAGTGTGAGCGCAGACGCGCCGCTAAATGAAGGCGCAAGGTGATGCATGCCGAGGACTGGGCACGGCGCTGGAGCAATGCAGCTGAAGATTTGAGAGCGCGCAAGTCGGCGAGGGGCGAACTGTGCCCGGGCGGTCGCGCATGCGGCCAGGCAGCTTCTGAGCAGCCAAGCCACCTCACGGTCCGATAGTGGATGCCACTGGCCTGCATTCAGTGCATAGCGGGCATTTCTGTGTGCAAGCCTGTCGACCAACGGGCACCAGCCAAAGCAAGGTGGCTGTGGGCAATCATCCAGCTGCGGCACGGGTGTGTGGCGGCAGCCGCATCACCCGCACCGTGCAAAACAACCATAAATAATAAGATGGATAGGGGACGCCTGAAGCCAAGGGATGCATCGTGGTGCAGGGCTGGCGGAGCCCAAAATTCAGAGAAGGGATGATGCCAGCTGTAGCGATGTGAAGAAATGACACACCCATGCGCGCCAGGTGCAGCGAGGCTGCAAGTTCCAGCTGAGTTTGGCCGACGCCCTGAGGCAGCACCGGGGGCTGCGTGTGGGCAGTGGTACTAGGCCTGGGTAGTCAATGTCAGCCCAGCGGCCACGTTGCCGGCCCCGTCGACGGCGCAGATCCTGAACGAGTACGTCTCCCCTGCCTTGAGCCCCGAGAACGACGCCGCCTCCGCCGCCGGCGCGGACGTCGCACCCGCGCCCGCGCCCGCCCCGGCCTTGTTGCCCGCCCCCGGCGCGGCCTGGACGCTCATGCCCAGCCCCTTTCTCTGCGCGCTCTTGAGGCTCGCGCCGCGGCAGCGCGGGGGCGCGGACGAGCCCTGCCGCCCGACGACCAGGTACTGCGAGACGCCTGAGAGCCCGTCCGACGCGGCCTGCAGGAATCCGACGGTGACGCCGCCGCCGGCCGCCGGAGTGGCGGAGAGCCGCATCGCGTCGGGGTTCATGCCCGGGCCGGACGTGTCGTAGATGATCGTCCCGACCGCGGGGGCGGGCGCGACGCCCGCCGACGGGTCGCGGAGCCTGAAGAAGACGCGCACGGTCCTCAGGCCCTGCGGCGACGACGCGAGCATGAACTTTTTTGTGGCCGAGTAGCCGAACCACCGGCTGCAGCCGGCGGCGTCAACCGCGGCCTCGCTGATGCACATCTGCGTCCGCGGCGGCACGGGGCCGGCAGGGGTGATTGCCAGGCTGACCCTGCGCGCGCTGGTGTAGGCGGCGCCGCCGTTGATTGCGACGGTTGATCCGGGGGTGCTGGCGGGGGGCGACGGTGTTGCAAGCTGGATCGTCGCCTGCAGCGGGGCGGCCATGGTGTTGCCGACCGCGTCCCGCAGCAGTGCGTACACCGTCCGCGGCCCGTCGGGGCCGCCGGGCAGTGACCACGCCTTTGTCCGCGCGAACGGCTCGAACGGCGCGCAGCCGGCCGCGGCGTTGCTGATGCACATCCACGCGACCCCGCTCGCGTCGGTTGCTGACAGGGCGAGTGTGACGTCGGGACTGTCGGTTGAGGCCGCGCCGCCGTTAATGAGGAGGGAGCCCCCAGTAGGCGGCGCGGTGTCTGGCGCGGGCGACGGCGGAGCGGCCGGGGACGACGCCGGGGAGAGCACCGGGGAGAGCACCGGGGAGAGCACCGGGGAGAGCACCGGGGAGAGCACCGGGGAGGGCACCGGGGAGGGCGACGGCCCGGGCTCGGCGGATGCGTTTGCGGGAGGGGAGGGGCCCAGGGCGGCAACCGTCCGCTGGAGCGCGATGGACGCCTGCGCCGGGACGGCCATGGTGTTGCCGACCGAGTCGCGCAGCGTCACGTACACAGTGCGCGGCCCGTCCGCGCCGTCTGCCAGCCGCCATGCCTTGGCGGCCGCAAACGGCTCGAACGCGACGCACGCGCCCGGGGCGTTGCTGACGCACATCGCCGCGACGCCGCTCGCATCGGCGCCGGCGATCGTCAGCGCCGCGTCGAGCGAGGCGGCCGTCGCCGCGCCACCGTTGATCAGGACCGAGCCAGTCGGCGCGGCCTTGTCCAGGGCGGCCTGCAGCGCAGCCACGCCGGCAGGCACATTGATGCGCGGCGTGGTGACGCCGTTGCGCCCGTCCGTAATCGGCTTGCCGCTGGACCGCAGCGCCGACACGACCTGGTCGGGCGTCGCGGCCGGCACGGCGGCCTTGAGCACGGCGATCGCGCCCGCGGCGTGCGGCGCGGCCTGGCTGGTGCCGGCCATGGACCAGCCGCCGGCGTTGATGATGGCGCCGGGCGCGAGGAGTGTCATGAAGGGTGCGCTGCGGGTGAGGAAGGTTTTTTTGGGGGGGGGGGGGGGCGGAGTCCTCAGACGGGACAGGCGACGGGACAGGCGATTGTGATTTTTAAATCAGGGGTCGTACACATGAAAGGAGGGGCATGGGCTTGTCACCAGCCTTTGATTGGCAAAGGTGGGACGGATGGCACACAGGCCTAGCGTGTCATGATCAAGCCCACTTGACAAGGCCAAGCAAACAGAGGAGCACGGCCGCTGCTGAGCAGGAAAGCCAGGGCCACACCAGTGCTGACGCCACCGTCGGTTGGGGCGCTTCGTTCACGGCCCAGCGCTTGCGCGCAGCCCCTGCCCCCCCAAGCACGCCCCCCACCTGTTAGAGAAGCACGCCGCCTGGTCCGCCGCCGTCGCCGCGTCCGCGCAGACGGTCCATGCCCGCGACCCGACATCGCGATCGTATACGGCCCCGACGCTGACCGCCGACGGCGCGCAGCCCGGGTACGCGACCGCGGTCTTGTTCGCCTCGTTGCCCGAGGCGACCACGGGCAGCACGCCCGCCGCGCGGGCCGCCGCAAACGCGGGCTCGTACGCGCCGTCGCGGCACGGCGCGGCGCGGCCGACCTCTGAGCCCAGCGACAAGTTGATGGCGCACACGTTGTACTGACCGCTGGTCTTGGCCTTGACGGCCCAGTCCATGGCGGCAAGGATGTCGCTGTCCCAGGCCCAGATGTTGCCGGCGCGGTCGGACTCGAAAACATCGAGCGCGAGGATCTTGGCGCCCGGCGCAACGCGCGCCACGATCGACGCGACGTTGGTGCCGTGCTGTGGGGGGAAGGTGGGGGGCCGGGGGGCGTGTGGGAGCGCGCGGGCGGCGGGGGGTCGGGGGTCGTCTGGCAAGGGGGGCGTGGTGCGGGAAGGAGAGGGGCCACAGCAGCAGGGCATCGGCCCCCGGGGCCGTTTCAATGCAGGAGAGCAAGACAAGCTCATGCGCAACTGCGCGTCGCCAAAGCTGGCACGTGTCGCCGCCCCTTTGCCCCGCTGCGGCGCACAGGCCCGGCTGTGGGCGTTGGACATGCTGCACCCTCGTTTTTTGTGTCCCCTCTTTCCAATCTTCCTGCCGATCCGCACCCACGGCCCTCAACAGCACAACACCCCCTCACACCCACCCACCCACTAACCCACACACCTGACTGCCCACCAACGCCGCCCACGTTGACGAATCCACCTCCCCCCCTTTGCCACCCTGCGTCCGCTTGCCCCCCAGAAAAAGAACCCCCTCTCACCCCGTCGCTGTCCAGCTTCCCATCGTCCACCTTTGTGAAGTCCCTGGCATACGCCACGCGGCACGGCTCGGGGGCGCCTGCGTATGCGCACGACCCGAGGT